TATATATATATATATATTTTCAAATTAAGTACTTTTTTAATTACAATGTTTACATTTGATGCATTAGTTTCAGGCAAATAATGGGGTAAATTATATATTACATTTATTGGGAACAAATGTGTTGATTTTCTTCATGTCAGACAACTTTAGTGTTTAATATTATAAAAAGTGAGGATGTTATAATCAGCATTTGTGATGTTTTGTTTTTCAGTGATGCTGCTTTTAACCACAGTATAAATTGTTGACAAATAAACTTAGCACAAAAAAAAAAAAAGAAATTTGTGTTTGGTATTTCTTTGCTGTAACCATGCTTCATGGCAATTGATCTATCGTTGGAAAGCCTGTTAATTTCCCTTTTAAGTGGTGCCACATTTGTAAGGAACATGCATTTGTGTAAAGAACATGAGTGTGGGTTACTCACATGAAAAAAATTGCCAAATCCTGTTTGCTATTGCCAAACAGCTTATTATGCTGTTATTTTGACACTTGTTTGGAGCTTCTGGTACCCTCAGGTGCTGCCCATCAAGTGCCCGCTACAATGTATTGCCAAGAATAATTACAACAAAGAAATAATCTACCTAATACATTTTTTATTACTTTTTGTGCTAAGAATATATAATACTGACTATATCCTAAAGCAGGAATGAACTAGAAAAGTAACTTTTTTTAAAGCTGCGGCTTAACAACTTACTGCAGCACTTTATGTGATAGAACCTTTAGATGTKGCTTTATTTTTTGAGAGTTTTGCAACACGTTTCAAACCCAGCTTGGCTTGAACACTTTTCTTGACTCTGTTTCGTTGCATAACTGAATATAAATAGACACATTTATTGTTTAAAGTGATCTGAGGTGCTTAAAAGATTTAAAAAAAAAGGTAAAACACTGAATTCTTTATAAGCTTTTTCAGTGGACGTTACACTACTCATCTTAGCTTTATAGTGTGCAGCAGTTTTGATTGAACTACTCCGCTCCTTTAGTATTTGTTACATCTAATAATCTCATTGTTGCGGTGTTAAGGTTTTAACTTGCCCCAGTGTTGTTGACRGAAAGTTTTCATATGCTCTAAATTCTTTGTAGTATGTTTCCTGCATCATTGAGTGCCAAAACAGTGTTGTTTACTGGAAGTGTGTGTGTGTGTGTGTGTGTGTGTGTGTGTGTGTGTGTGTGTGTGTGTG